TATAAGAGATTTTCTCTGGTCCCAAATTAGAGCCTGTGTTAATGTATATAAATTAGACCCAACCCGGATATAAGAGAAACCCGGATATAAGAGACTTCTTCTCCGGTCCCGACAACTCCCTTATATCCGGGTTACACTGTATAATAAAAATTAAAAAAAAAATAACTACGAAATCACACTCTTGATTAAAAAGAAAAAAAAAAAAACCTGTTTGCAGAATTAAAAGAAACCGGATATGTAGAGAATAAATATTTCCCGGCATGCTTTATTGAAGGAAAGAATAAAACCAGTAATGTAATTGTTTCTCAATAGAAGCTCTCTTTGCAAAAGTGTTAATGAAACTTGATTTACAAACTGATTTATTTACAAAGAATACATTTTTTATACATATATATTTATATAAAAAAAATTATGTTGGTATTAAATAACCCTTCAAAGTTAATATGCTATAAAACAAAAGAAACAAAATCAACCTATACAATGAATCAATCCTGAGACAAACACAGAAGTCCTGGTGGCCACAATCTCGTGATGAACATTGGGAGCAAAAGACCATATATGGCAACAGTATTCAATGTAAGGACGGATGGTAGATTGAATGTAACCAGCCAGTTTTCCATTTTCCCTTCTAGTTAAGGTCAGACAAGAGATCAGCTGCCCATAGCTTATCGTCGAAAGTTTTCGAGGTGCATCTATATATATTATCATAACATCAGTATAGATATTCACAAATGATCGTACTATACTTTTAGGCACATTATTTATGTAAAGCAGAAAAAGGGTTTGGTCTTAGAAGCGACACCTGTGTATCTGTGCTGTAAGCTGGGGTCCAAATTTAACTTGAAGTAATTTAATCTATTTAAGCCACAATAGACGCTCAAGGCACCAGTCAATTTTCCCTTTTCCCTACTAGCTAGGTCGGAAGAGATATCATCTGCCAATCGCTTGTCGTCAAGACTTTTCGAGGTGTATCCATATATTGTCGTAACATCAGTATAGATATTCACAAATGATCGTACTATACTTTTAGGTACATTATTTATGTAAAGTATAAAAAGGGTTTGGTCTTAGAAGCGACACCTGTGTATCTGTGTTGTGAGCTGGGGTCTAAATTTAACTTGAAGTAATTTAATTTATTTAAGACCCAATAAGCGCTCAAGGCACGAGGCCTCTCGTAAGGAACATCCCTTCATCGTGATTGGTGATAGTTCTGGGTCTAATCAATGGTGATGGAATGTAACTAGTTTCGTTTTCAAGACATTGTCACCAGCCAGTTTTCCCTTTTCCTTATATAGCTAGATAAAAGGGTATACTTTTACACACATTATTTATGTAAAGCCAGGTATTTACTGCAGATGTACAGAATCGGACATTTTCCCTTCATCTTTAGCGATGGATCGTATGTACGAGTTCCACTTGAGGTCTGGGTTGAGCTTAAATCCCCAAAGGCGCTCAAGGCACGGTATCTCCCAAAAGGGGCATCCCTTCATTATGATTGCTGATAGTTTTCGAGTTGCATCCATATACTGTCGTAACTTCAGTATAGATATTCATAAATGATCATAGTATAATTTTAGGCACATTATTTATGTAAAGTAGAAAAAGGGTTTGGTCTTAAAAGCGACACCTGGTGGATGCCTGCGCTGATTGCTAGGGCTTTGAAGGACTGGCCATTAACAATTACCTTCAGGGACCTACCCGTTAAGATGAATTTAGATCAAAATAATCGTGCCATGAGGATAATTATTTGAAAAATATTAGATAGTCTGAAATAAATAGATTGGTAGATAGACAACTCTCTGTGTATCTGTGCTGTGGGTGGGGGTTCGAATTTGACCTGAAGTAATCTCATTGGCATTGACTCCATACTACAAATAAAAATCGGGGCAAACTCGTCCGATCGTTTATAAAAGAAAACACTTGAAATTATTTGACAACTAAATAAGAATGCCTTACCCAATAAGAACCGTGCCCCGGGGTGGCGGGGGAATTACCGGCATTTGTATTTCATACACAAGAATACTTCATTATCTGCACAAATTATCCAACTCGTCAGATCTCTAATATCTGATCAAGGTTGACTATTGAGGTAACAGCTTTCACTCAACTATTGTGACATGCCAGTGATTAAGCCTTCAAAATATATGACAATGATAGAGATCACTGGAAGAAATGTGTTTATACCATTTTTTTCATGTGCTTACTTGATTAAACCCTTGATTATTTTGCCTTTATCTTGCAGAGCCGGTAATTGTGCGTCTCGGCGGTACAAACGAATCTACCTATGGGCGTGTTGAGATACAATACAAGGGGACGTGGGGAACCATATGCGATGATGACTGGAGTCAAGAAGATGCTATCGTAATTTGCAGGATGTTGGGTCTTAAGTGAGTTCGTTTTGCTTCATCAGTTTATTTACCCAAATCCGTTGCCCTCCGTCCGTCTTTCCGTCCGTCCGTTGCCCTCCGTCTTTCCGTCCGTCCGTTGCCCTCCGTCTTTCCGTCCGTCCGTTGCCCTCCGTCTTTCCGTCCGTCCGTTGCCCTCCGTCTTTCCGTCCGTTGCCCTCCGTCTTTCCGTCCGTTGCCCTCCATGTCTTTCCATCCGTTGCCCTCCGTCCGCCCGTTGCCCTCCATCCGTCTATCCGTCCGTACTCGTCGCACTGTATCGTCAGTTTTGAAAGGTTTAATAACATATATGCCAACGTATTACGATCAAATGTCATTTCACTTTTGATAATAACCCTTATAGACAGGAATTTGAACCATCAATGGGATCCCCATTAATGTCATTTGTTAGAAGTTCCAGAAACCCGTTCTTTCAAAAACACTTTATCTAAAGAATCAACATATTTCCGATATAGAGATGATATCTTATTAATATATCTCCTCAAAATTATATTACCTGATATTGTAAGTAAAATAAAGATATTGAACATACAAAAGACAACTGTTTCTTGATATTTTAAATTGCACTGATAATGATCGAAAGCTAAACGTCTTTCGAAAATCCAACAACGAAAATGAGCTCATAAACTTCTATTCACGCCACAACAACAAAATAAAATCCAGAATAACTATACGTTTCCATTAAAGAGCAATTAGAATTTTTAATCTTTGATAGCTAAATAATAAAAAAAATTATTGAAAATATTTTTTTAACTCGTTCGATATCTGTATCTTTTGTATTTCTCTAGAGGTGGCCAAGCACTTTTGTCAGCCACTTTCGGACAAGGTGTTGGCGATATCCTGCTAGATGATGTGAGGTGTGTAGGGACGGAAACATCTATTGCTGAATGCGATTTTCCTGGGTGGGGCATGCACAACTGCGGACACCATGAAGATGCTTCAGTCATGTGCACTGATGGTCAGTTGACATATTTCAAAATTTTTTTTAATTTCTTTAAATTTCATTTGTTTTGTGACTTTATTTCTTTAATTATTGTTATTTGAACTTGTGCCACACACACACGCGCGATAGTACAACCCCCTTATCGTCTCCTCGTCCCTCACACAGTTGATCTTCCCCACGTTGTGTTTAGGCATTTGATCTGAAGAAGTCTTGGGTGAATCTGGTTGAAACGCCAGAAGCAAAGGGTTGAATTATAATTTTTTTTCTTCCTTTCAACCTAAGAAAGACGATAAAGCCCCTAAGATGCAAAGGGTTACTGCAATTGAAAGAAATTAAGAAAATGTTGTTGAGGAGAGACGATAATAAAGAAAACAGGTTTTGAGGAGACAGAAGATGACAATTGATGTTGCATTTAAATTTTTGTAGATTGTTGTTGACAAGAAACCAATGAAGCCGGAAGAGAGTTCCATGGGCGAAGAAGGCAAGAGAAGAAACTATCATAATAGAACTTGCGACTACATCTAGCAATTTCAATTGTAAAGTGCTGAGACCTAGCTGCCAATCAAGTACTTCGCTTAAATTCGTGAAGTCAAGATACGAAAGGGGCAAGCTGATCAGAATAATTACCATGAAAATATTTGTAGACAAAGCGCAGAAAAGCTATGGCGATGGTAAAATGACTGAATCCGAAATGCCAGGTCAGGATCAATAACATTGCAGATTCATTGAATTTTATCACGAATCTATAAATATATAACAAGAGCACCAGACCATATGTGGCAGCAATATTCAAAGCAAGGATGAAAGGTAAACTTATAAATATGTAAGGTAGATTCTGTCGAGAAAAAAATTGTCTAGCAAGACGTAATGAACCAACTTTCTTAGCTGCAGACTTAACAATTGATTCAATATAATCTTTTCACTCCTTGCCAGCTGACAGCGTTACTCCGAGAAGGTGCAATGAATTACTCTCCTGGAGGTTAGCATCAGCCATGCTGACTGAAGGTAAAAAGGATTCTCGCAAATGATTAAAAGAGAACAGTTTCGTTTTTGAGGCATTAAAACTAATAAGCCATTCCTTGCCCCCATTTAACAACAGTAAAATTTGTTCTTCTCCTAGACCAGTTGCCACTCAAGGCTGTAGGAGACACCATCTCCTGCTATTTAACCATAGTGGGGGAGGGGTATTCATACCTTTCACGTAAGTGAACTTGACTGGAACTTGAACTCAGCTCTTCGATTCCTCAATCCGAATGTGTGTTTGGGTGTAAAAATAAAGAATCAACTTATATATGCGATTCATTTATATACAAGTAGATACAATCATTTTAAATATTTACTTGGTAAATTATAATCACAGGAATGCTCGTCCCACCGGCTACCAAATATATATATATATATATATATATAGTTGAAATTTTTAAGAAAGTCTAAAGGAAAAAATGGTACAGTTAAAGTAAAACAAAAAATTCTTCAAAAGACTAGCGTAAATCCCATTCCGTCTGACCAATATAGGTTTGGTTGAAACAAAATCTGTTTTTCTGATGACCCTGTTTTATCTGCGAAACATGTCAAAATAAGTTTCCTAAATTATCAGATATATTTATCATTGCAAATACAGGTAAAAGAATGAGATAAATGTGCTTAAATATATGCTCGTATCTATCTCCCTGTCGCTTTTCTGCTCGTATCTATCTCCCTGTCGCTTTTCTGCTCGTATCTATCTCCCTGTCGCTTTTCTGCTCGTATCTATCTCCCTGTCGCTTTTCTGCTCGTATCTATCTCCCTGTCGCTTTTCTGCTCGTATCTATCTCCCTGTCCCTTTTCTGCTCGTATCTAATCCCTGTCGCTTTTCTGCTCGTATCTATCTCCCTGTCGCTTTTTCTGCTCGTATCTATCTCCCTGTCGCTTTTCTGCTCGTATCTATCTCCCTGTCGCTTTTCTGCTCGTATCTATCTCCCTGTCGCTTTTCTGCTCGTATCTATCTCCCTGTCGCTTTTCTGCTCGTATCTATCTCCCTGTCGCTTTTCTGCTCGTATCTATCTCCCTGTCGCTTTTCTGCTCGTATCTATCTCCCTGTTATTTTTTTTCTGCTCGTATCTATCTCCCTGTCGCTTTTTCTGCTCGTATCTATCTCCCTGTCGCTTTTCTGCTCGTATCTATCTCCCCGTCCTTTTCTGCTCGTATTTCTCCTTCTTTTCTGTCGCATTATATCTGTCCTTTGTCTGTCCTTTTCTGCTCGTATCTATCTCCCTGTCGCTTTTCTGCTCGTATCTATCTCCCTGTCGCTTTTCTGCTCGTATCTATCTCCCTGTCGCTTTTCTGCTCGTATCTATCTCCCTGTCGCTTTTCTGCTCGTATCTATCTCCCTGTCGCTTTTCTGCTCGTATCTATCTCCCTGTCGCTTTTCTGCTCGTATCTATCTCCCTGTCGCTTTTCTGCTCGTATCTATCTCCCTGTCGCTTTTCTGCTCGTATCTATCTCCCTGTCTGCTTCCTATTCCCTGCTTTTCTGCTTTTATATCTATCTCCCTGTCGCTTTTCTGCTCGTATCTATCTCCCTGTCGCTTTTTCTGCTCGTATCTATCTCCCTGTCGCTTTTCTGCTCGTATCTATCTCCCTGTCGCTTTTCTGCTCGTATCTATCTCCCTGTCCTTTTTCTGCTCGTATCTATCTCCCTGTCGCTTTTCTGCTCGTATCTATCTCCCTGTCGCTTTTCTGCTCGTATCTATCTCCCCCTGTCGCTTTTCTGCTCGTATCTATCTCCTGTCGCTTTTCTGCTCGTATCTATCTCCCTGTCGCTTTTCTCTGTATCTATCTCCTGTCCCTGTCTATCTCCCTGAAACTTTTCTTTATCTCTCCCTCGCTTTTCTGCTCGTATCTATCTCCTGTCGCTTTTCTGCTCGTATCTATCTCCCTGTCGCTTTTCTGCTCGTATCTATCTCCCTGTCGCTTTTCTGCTCGTATCTATCTCCCTGTCGCTTTTCTGCTCGTATCTATCTCCCTGTCGCTTTTCTGCTCGTATCTATAGCTATCTATATGAGTACAAAAGAGATAGACAGGTAGATATGAAAAGAGGAGATAGATTGAACTCCGTCATTCACATGACTAATCTGAATCATGTTTTCCTTCGATAATGTAGATTTGGTGGAAATAAAATCTATTTTTCCTGATGATGCTGTTTTTAATCATCGAAACATGTCAAAATAAGAGCTTCCCAAATTGTCTTATACAATTCCGTCGGATTGCCATGCAAATTTAAACGCCATTTTCGCTTTATTTCCCGGCACAATGCAGTATGCAAGCAACGTAAGTTGCTGTCAAAATAAACTTTATCTAACTAGTTGTGCATGGTTTTTATCGACGCCTTGATCAGAAAAAAAAAAAAAAAACATATTTTCCCAGCTCATTTCCATATCTAATTTCCTTTCACAGATTCTGCAACTGACAGGCCCGAGGCAAGCACGATTCCTTCGCAAGATGTCGGTGAGTTCTTTGATTCACTTTCATTAAATTAGCTTCCAGATTTCAAAAGATATATAATTTTCTTCTGTCTCTAAGCCATCTGACCATCATTTAAACTAATTACTTCAAGGTAAATTTTGACATACAGTTTAATTCAGAGAGAGTCTAACAAAGAATTAATGAATAATTAAAAAAAAATACAATTAAGTTTATGATATAGGCAGTCATTTTTTTTAAAAAATCATTTCATCTCTAGCAAGGTGAAAATGCCACTAGAACACAAGTGGTTACTGGGAGTGAAAGAGAATGAGAAGACTTTAGTGAGGAGAAAGGACAATAAAAGAACAGGTTTCATGATAATGCCACTAAGATACAAGGGGTTACTGGGAGTGAAGGAAAAAACGAAAATAAAAGAACATAAGACAGAAGACAGCGATTGGTGATGCATTTAAATCTTTGATGATTGTAGTTGACAGGGAAGCAAGAAATCGGAAAGGAGTTCAACAGGTGGGAAAAGAAACTATTAGAATACAAGTGACGGTTGTATCAAGCCAGTTCAACAGCTCTACTATTTTGATATTTGATTTGCCCGATCGGTCGGTCTGTCCGTCCGCGTCCATTGCCCTCCGTCCATTTATCATATCAAATTTTCATATCTAATATTTATTAAAACATTTGCCAAAAAGTTACTTATTTTCTTATATTTTCATTTCCTTGTCCCTTCAGGACATTGGTGCTTATGAAACTTCACCTATTTATTCATTGGTTTTCTTTTGGACTTCTTGGAAAAATTCGTCCACATTCATATTTTAAAGTTTTATTAGAATTCCCAAAATTGTGTTTAAAAATTGCCATGAGAGAATACAGTAATAGTGATATAAAAAAAATTACATCAAAAGAACGTTTTTTTTTTTTTTTGCTTATTTCTGTAAATTAGAACTTACAGTTTGAATTGACAAATTTTTTAATCTTTTAAGATAATGAAAGGAACCATTATTGAAAATTTTTGGTATGCAGTAATTCTTGGACTTATTTTCTTCCAGAACTTATTCGTTTAGTCGAAGCTGATTATATCAATGGCGGACGTGTCGAAGTGTTCCATGATGGTGTTTGGGGAACTATTTGTGATGACGATTGGGACGACAGAGAAGCCACCGTTGTCTGCAATATGCTAGGATACGCGTAAGTCACTTCTGTTGGTTGGTTTCTTTACTTTATTTAGCGGTATATCAACACTTCTATGGGTCGTTTAATGCTGAAATGGAAATATTTTGAATGCAATTGTATGCCTTCAACTTCAGATAAAATTTATTGTTGGTCATTTTGCTTCAAAATGTATCTATCTTTCCATATTTATAATTCTCAAAATGCGTGCGTTTCTGTGTGTGATTGGATGTTTATGCATTTCCAGTTTTCATCCGATTTTGATGAAATTTTTTTTTGTTTGATAGATAATTCTTCAGTGCCGGTTATGGGTCCAAATTGTTGGCAACAATGGCTCTCCACTATTTCCTTATCCATTATAACTCTCAGCAACGGTTTACTATTTACTGAATATTCGGCCTTTTTCAGGTTGGAATGTCAAACCGAACCCTTTATTTCGCTCGCTGGGGTAGACTGTTCTAGTTCCACGTTTAATGGATGTCAGTTATCTCCTGTTAATTCCCCTCTTCAGATTCTCCACTGCCTTAACCAGGTATTGAACTCACAACTCTTTGGGTCGTGTCACTAACGCCTTTATCCACTGTGCTATATGTCCTTGAGGACATCTGTATGTGCATTTCTGGGTATTATAAACCTAATGTCTACAGCAACCATTTTTTTACCAGTGCAATTTTTGCTGTTATCATTGCACGTTTTTTACCATAGCTCATACTGCAATTTTTGTTGTTATCACTTTTCTCTGGCACTCCTTATTACTGGTACCCATATTGTATTCATTTCTATGCTTGGTCGGCTCAGGAGATTTGTGTGGCCTAGCATATGTGCTGATTCCTTAAGTTTACGAATTTTCCAATGATGTTCTTTGTCTATGATTTCAACCTGATCCCATACAGGGCGGTGATCTTCCTTTTCTCCGAACGGAATAAAGGGTTCAGTTCGACATTCCAACCACATAAAGAAGGCCGGAGCGTACAACTGCCGAAATGTTGTGATAAATATGGCAACAAAGATGAGGACAATAGTCCGAATAATGTATATAGCGTATACTATGTATACTATATTAAGCTCAGAAATATAGATAATAAAATTGATTTAAAAAATTCTTCGACTCCTGTTTGATTGAAATGGAATATCGTCGATTTCCACACACAATCAACAATAACCCAACATTTGGGCAGCGTTCAATGAATTGTTGCTTATTGGACATAGATAATAAGAAAAATATACTGAGGCTTGTAGCATTCTCTTCTGGAGATACACAATTAATACACTGTATGTGTGTTTATATTTTGCCTGTTCATTCCTGGTCTGATTTGAGCCCATGGAGGCCTGTCTGACATAGGTATGTGACATAGGTCAATTTCGTGAAACCTTGGATCTGCGGCCAAAGAATTATGCGTCAGCTGCTGGTGGCGTTGCAGTATCTGTTAAGGCTGTACATGTTGACACGAGAGTGAGTCTTGATTGCAAGGAATGCATGTGATGAGGCTCCCCTTCGATGTCGTCGCCTGGTTTTCTTTCCGTCGAGCACGCTTCTGCAACCCCGCCTCTGCGGCAAGCCTTTGTTTCTCCAATCCTCTCTCCAGCCCTCAACATAGGTAAGACAGGTTAAAACCAATCATGGGGACACGTACTTTCCCATCTGGTTCTTAACTGTTTTTGGTGGGGTGTCACGGGCCCCCTATAAGAACTCTCCCATGATAGACAAGCAGATATTCAAATCTGATAGGTCTTTCCACAACTCCATGCTGCAACCTCATGCACATCACTTTACACACAGCCACGCTTGAAAAAAAATTATAGTCTGTTAATCCTCACCTGCATCGTGATTTTCCAAGCGTAGCTTTGATGTGGCACAAGGCCGAAAGTATGCGGCACCCAGTGAGGATCGAACTCACAACTCGGTCGTAATTGTTCTAGCGAGAGAAGCTTGCTAATCATTACACCGCCTCCATATTCGCTAAGTGATTTTCCTAGCGTGGCTTCGATGTGGCACAAGGCCGAATGTGTGGGGCACCCAGTTAGGATCGAACACACTACTTAGTCGTAATTGTTCTAGCAAGACAAGCTCATTAACCATTACACCGCCTCGATGTGCCGAAATCCTCACCAGTATATGATAAGATAATCAAGTCGTGATAAACCTAAGAAAATAAGAATTATCACTTGTTGTTATGGAGTGGCAAAATATGGTGGTCACGCAGAGAACGACGACACGTTTAAATGGTAAACATGGACCTAATAGCAAAGTCAAGAGACGCCTAGTGGTCGGCACTGTAAGTAGTGGCTGGGTGCGTTTTCGTTTAAGCAGTGACAGGATGCATTTTCTTTTATTTCTTTCAGTGGAAACGGTTTCCCACTGAAAGAAATAAAAGAAAATGCATCCTGTCACTGCTTAAACGAAAACGCACCCAGCCACTACTTACAGTGCCGACCACTAGGCGTCTCTTGACTTTGCTATTTGGCTTGATAGTAAAAATGTTAATTTTTATCTGATCCTCACGAACCTCTACAATCCATCCTAGGTTAAGAAGCCTTGCACTAGCCTATATTGTTTGTTTACTCTCGATTAGATGTTCTTCGACTCTCTCTGACTTTTCTACAAATATTTCCCGGTAACTGCTCCGACAAGCTACTTTCGCTAGTTCCCAAACTGCATGAATTTAAGCATGCTACTAGGTTGACATCTCAGTCCCACGCTTTCACTGTCGAAACGGTTAAATGTAGCCGTCTCGTCTACTTTAATAGCTTCATATCTCGCACTTCCCGGCTGTGGAACTCCCTTCCTCTTACTTGCTTCCCTGATAGTCTTCAACTATTCAAATGTAATGTCAGTCGACATCTCTAGATGCCTTGATCTAATTTGCCGTCTTTTGCTTCATCTATGAAGCCTCTTTACTCTTGCTCCCACTCGCTGTAACCCCTTACGTGCTAGTGGCACTCCCACCTTGCTTGGGGGTGAAATGCTTAAAGAAAAAAAAAGGCGGCTTATGAATGCTCCATTACTTTTCTCACGAAAAGCCTCACTTCTTTCATTTCACTTTTATTATTTTATTATTTTGTATTGTAATGAATTTCTTCTCGTGTTTTAATGATCCAGTCATACCTGAACACATAATAGCTATAATCTTCAATTATTCAAATACAATGTCAATTGACATTTCCAGATGCCTTGATTTAATTTTCCATCCTTTCCTCTATCACGCCTCTTTACTCTTGCTCCCACTCGATGTAATCCCTTGAGTGTTAGTTGCACTTCCACCTTGCTTGGGGGTGAAAGAAAAAGTAATCTTTTAAACGAAGGGTTTACCTGATGACATTTTAACGAGTTTATCTTAGTCTTATTTTGCTTTAAGAAAATATTTTTGTTTCATTCTTTTCAGCTTTGGCAAGGCTTTTATAGCCTCTCGGTTCGGTTCGGGTAGTGGAGCAATTTGGATGGATGATGTCGGCTGCATAGGTAATGAAACATCATTATTCCAGTGTGCCCATCATGGTTGGGGTCGCCACAATTGCGGTCATACAGAAGACGCAAGTGTCGTCTGCCTCACAGGTGAATAGAAAAAAAAATTTCAGAAACATTTTATGCCTCATTTGAAAATATTTTTATTTTTTTGCATCAGTTTACACACATACATATATATATATATATATATATATATATATATATATATATATATATATATATATATATATAATATACAACACAGATATATATATATATATATATATATATATATATATAATCAATCATTTGTTGAATTTCTCAGAATAATTCTGAAAATATGATGACAAATTGGATGAAAAAAAAAAGACAATTGGAAAACAGTTCTTAGTCCTTGCCGACGCGTTTCGTCATTCGACTTTAAGAACAAAGAACTATTTTCCAATTGGCTTTTTTTTTTTTTTTAATCCAATTTGTCTTAACGTCAAAATTATTCTGAGAAATTTAACAAAATATTGTTGACCTGGAAAAAAAAAAGTTACCAATATCCCGAAAGACAGGAGCGCCTTGTTTAAAATTTTTGAATTTGACGTAACAACACATTCCACTTTCATTTACCATCACTTTCCTTATATATATATATATATATATATATATATATATGTGTGTGTTTTGAACAATGAAAAATTAAAAAAAATTAAAAATCTTCAGACACACTGAGTTGTATATTAATATTCTTTCGTTTTTATTATTTCAATTAGATTCCTCCACTAGTTTCGGCAAGCATAGCCAGCTTGTTAGTAGCAGTGAACTACAGAAATGAATGTCTTGATGGAGAAAATGAACTTTATCTGTAGTTTTCATGTTTATTTTTTAAACATGAATTTTGGTCAGCCATATATATATATATATATATATATATATAAAATCTTGTCATTGGTGAAACTTGTTGCTGAGTATTTGGATACTAATCGACATTTTCTTTTGTGCGAAATGAGTACTAGATATTTATTCTGTCTCCCCACTAAAAATAGTTGTGACACATTCATTTTTAAGGTGGGTACCAGAGCGCGTACACCCGGACTAGTTGCGCTGGCCTCGGTGCGAGCACCGATCTATCTCTCTGGTGCGTGGCCTCGGGCAGCTGTTCCCCAGGGCTGGGAACATCTTAGTATCCTCAGTTGTGACTGTTCTTTGATGGAATCGCCCCTGAGCGTAATCTGCCCAAAGATAGACGCAACTGAGAGATGATAAATAGATGTTACAAACCACTCGAGAGAGGTTTACAAGCGAAATGAGTACTATATTGAATCTGAAGTCAGTCGCCATCATTCTTCGGCATGCAGCCATCACACACCTGCCGCCTCTGTGCAATTTGGAGACTAGAGGTTTCCAGCTGAGACACAGCCTGACCCCGCCTCGTTGCCACAGGACTTGAAGAAAGAAGTTTTGACTTGAGAAAGAAAAGCCTTTGAATACGAAAGCTTTGACTGTGAATTGTCTGGAGTGTTCCATGGGTCGCCACTCGATGGCACACATGCTTCAGCTAAGACCATCCCCCTGCGGCAAATCTGAGGCTGACAGGCAAATTTATGATGACGGCTTGCATCGGGCTGCCGACTTTTTTTCGTCGGAGAACGTCGTCTTGACCGCATCAGATCATACTTAGTCTGGTCCCTTCACTGAAACCTAACCCTCATACATTCTGGCTCCTTCAACACAATACGGTAGATATATACACATAGGGTGCGATAGGTAAATTGGTGTCATTTTATAGCTTTCAATTTGCGCATTGTCTGCGTTTGATTTTGTCGACTGCACAGTATAGTCAATTGGGCACCGTCTGTGGGGGTGGGTGGGAGTAAAGAGCACCGTGGCGCAATTCACTCCGCCCGAAATTCGGAAAGAGTAGGATGAGTCTAATGGTGATTACGAAGGTGTTTGAAGTGATCACTAGTAATGGCGATATTATGCTTCCATTCATCATCCCATAGGGCCTCACTCAACACTGAGGCCTACATCAAGTGCCTTGAGGAGGTAGTGCTGTCCTGGGTCAAGAGGGTGGCAACTGAAAAATCCTATGTCTGGTAACAGGACTCTGCACCAAGCAACACAAACAGAAAAACCCAGTCTGAAACCTATGACTGCGACCACATCACCTCTTTACATCTGGCCACCAAGGTGCGGCACCTCTGAAAATTCACTGTGATCGTTCCGATAAGAAAAGAACTCCCGAATTTGTTGGTGAGGGTCTCAGTCTCAACATGGAGGCCTACATTAAGTGCTTTGACGGGGTAGTGCTGCTCTGGGTCAAGAGGGTGGCTGCTGGAAGACCCTATGTCTGTCAACAGGACTCTGCCCCATGCCACACAGGCAGGGGTTCAGTCATGGCTGTCAGACAATTTCTGCGACCACATCATCCCTTACATCTGGCCACTTAACTCCCCAGACTGCAACCCCCCTAGATTATTATGTGTGGGGCGCCGTTGAGCGAGAGACCAACAAAAATCCTTGTAACACCAAAGATAACCTGAAGGCAAGGATTATGGTAGTATTCACCAACTTAAATAAGGAGACCGTCCAGAAGGGATGCAGGAGAGTCCGAATTCACCTGGAGGCCGTGGTTGAAGCCAATGGTGATTTTTATTGCATACATTTAGAAAAGTACAGATTTTAATGCACTTGTGTTTTCTCTTTCAAGTTATAATTGTTTTGTAAAATACATGAAATAAATGAATTCAAATTCCTAAATGTGAAGATTCATTGTGGAATTTCCACTGCTCTTCATTGTTTTTAATTGGCTTCTAAAGTTAATTTAGCATAGAATTCACAAATCTTCATGAAATTAAACTCTATCATTTTGGTGATGAGGGAAGGGATTTATCATTTTGGGTTTAGAAAAATGAAATTTCATTGAAGATATTACTTTTTTTTTTCCTCTCTATTTAACTAAAATATAATTTTTGTGTTTGGCAGCTCCACTCACAACCACCACCCCCGGCAATGGAACTGAGATTGAAACCACAGTAGAGCCTGTGACGTACCCGACACATGGTATTTGCAATACTTTTTCTTCTTTGCACCTTTCTTCTCTTCTTTGCTTTCCCCCTCTTCCTTTCTTTACTTCCATTCACTGTCTTCCTCCCCCCATTCTCTTCTTCCTCCCCCCATTCTCTTCTTGTTCTCTTCCTCCCCCCCATTCTCTTATTTGCTCTCCTCCACTCATCTTTTCTTTACTTCTCTTCTTTGTTCTCCTTCCTCTATTTGCCTCCCTCATCTATTCCTCACTTTCGTTTCCTGTTCTCCTCCCTTCTTTGCTCTCCTACCCTCATCTTTTCCTGACTTCCCTTCCCTGTTTTTCTCCCTATTCTCTTCTCTCATTGTTCTCCCTCCCCTCTTCTTTTCCTTACTTCTCTTTTTTGTTCTCCTTCCTCTATTTGCCTCCCTCATCCTTTCCTTACTTCCCTTCACTATTCTTTACTCTCCTCTCTCCTTATCTTTTCCTTACTCTCCTCCCCTCTTTTCTTTACTTCCCTTCCGTTTTTCTCCCCATTCTCTTCTCCCCTCCTCTCTTCTTTT